CACACACTTTTATACTTTTTATAGCGTACTGCCGACAACGGTAGCTGTTGATAATGATATCGATTCTAGAGATATGAAATAGAAGAGAAATCTTTTTTTTTTTTCAAAATTATATTTTTTCTCACCCCTATCGACGAAAGTCGGCCCAAACCCCAGCAGCCTGTTTCCTTAATGTATGCGTTGTTACGCCCCCATCGACTCAATCGAGGTGGTCTAGGAGGCGGGCTTCCGAGTCCGACCCTAGCTGCCAGGGCCAACCCGGGCTGAGAAGGATACAACATCCCAGCAGAAAGATGGAGGTACTCGATTGAAATTTCCTCCCACTCAGGAATCGAACTCGTGTCTCCTGCGTACGACGACAGCGAAGACCCTAATCAACATCTACACCACAGACTCTGTCCCGCGTTTTGAGCACGGGGGAAAAAATAGCATACTCAGTAGACCTTCAGAATCGCAAATTCTATCTATCTCAAAAGACTACATTTGGCGAACAAAAGAGACAAAGCAAAAAACAATAATTTTTAATCCAAAATAACAGTGAGAAATCGACGTAGGCCTATAGAACCGGTCCCACAAGAACTCATGTTAAACTGGTCCAAAAGGAACAGCGTAATAACTGGACCAAAAAGGAAATTTGTCTCTGATGCAGTGTTCGTATAAATTAGTTCCGCTTCTATGAAGAGCTGGAAAAGCGTGTCATTTATTGCTTTCAGCACGTTCTTACTGTCTCATTTTTCGTGTCTTATTCATTTTTTCCTTTCTTTATTTTATCGTTGTGCACAAATCAATGGGAGATGTACGAGAATATGGTCGTCTTGTCTGCTGTTTGGATTATGTTTGTGACCTTTCCATCCGTCACCATCAGCACGGCAACAATGCCATGCTGCTGTTACCGCAAATGCCGCTAAATTATCGCGCCTGTTTTCATTGGCATTGTTCATTCTATAGTTTACAATAATGCTGAACTTTCGTCTGGTTTTATCGTTTGCTGCTTTTCTCACTCGGCTGTCTCACCTCCAAAAGTACAATATTATTATTATAATATATTTTGCGTGAAAAGAGAAGCATCACATCACATTTCTAATGGAAAGAAAGAAAATGGCAGACAGAGAGAAAAAAAAAAGAAACATACGTGAATGAAATTAATCGATTAACAAATCAGGCCTTCTTCATTTTGACTTTTTTTTATCTTTAAAAAAAATCATTTCTGTGAAAAAACAACAGCCATCTCAGATGATATGGTACTTAAAACAGTTTTTGTCATATTGTTTCAGTGAGACCTACGGCTTTAACTTTATCAAAGTAGAATTTTACTTTGAAACAGCAACAAAAACAACAGCAACAGCAACAATAACATTATCATCATCATCATCATCATCATCATCATCATCATCATCATCATCATCATCATCATCATCATCGTCATCATCATCATCATCATCATCATCATCATCATCATCCTCACCACCACCACCACCACCAACAACAACAACAACATCACCATCAACATCAACAAAAACAGCAACAACAACAACAGTGACAACAACAGCGACCAAATAAGATAAAAGGAACTTGAAACCAGCCTTTGCCATGCGTCCACAGTTACAACGAGACGTGCGGAGTGAGACGGACAGCTGCAGTGATCAAGGAACACCTGAGACATCTGCTATCTACCAGAACGGGAAAGCTAAATCGACTTGACGACAGAATGACTGCCACAACTTGCCTACCGAATAGATTCATTGCCTTCCAGACAGATACTGTACAGGCCCCAAGTGTTCACAGGAGAAAACTGCTTCATCGCTCTCCTTGTTGACATTTAAACCATTAGAGATTATGCTGTTGTTGTTGTTGTTGTTGTTGTTGTTGTTGTTGTTGCTGCTGCTACTTCCGCTGCTGCTGTTGCTGCAGCTGCTGCTTGCATGTGCCTTTATAAATTTTGTTTGCAAAAGTCACAAAAACAAGTTCATCGTTTTTACTGACATCTGATTTCTTTAACGTGTGACAAACAACAACCATCCCCCCCCCTAAAAAAACCCTGACTTTCTGGACAATTCTGAAAAAGAAAGAAGAGAGGGTGGCAGTGGGGCTGAGGAGAAGGCATAGGGAAAATAATAATTGTGTGGGAGACGAAGCAAGAATAAATCAAAAGAGAGGGGAAAGATACGTGAGTGTATTTTTAATATCTTACTTTTTTCTTTCTCTTCTCCATCTTTTCCTTCTTACTTTCCCTTCCATTCATATTTCTGCCTTCTTCTCGTCCTTCTCTTTCTTCTGCAGCTTCCCTCCTCCTCCTTACTCCATCCTTCAGACTACATTATAATATACTCTTTTCTCTGCTATCGATCTTCCTACTCATTCTCCTTTCTTCTGTCCTTTTTCTTTCCTCCATACATATAATATGGGCTAACGTGGGACAAAGAGAGAAAAGCAGTCACAATATAAAGTCTGCTATATTAAACCATGACGATACAAATATAAAATAAATATGTCTCTTTGTTTTTTGGTAAGCGTTTTACGGCGCTCGCAACTGCATAAGGTCATATCAGCGAGCGGGACACATTAAACTTTTCATTTTGGTAGGAATTTATTCTGAATTTTGCTCCTGAAGCCTACTCCTATCGATTTTGGGCCACCATGGGATCTTTAACGTGCGAAACTTGCTCTCAGGACCTCCGAGATTTTTCGCCCTTACCCGAGAGGGGTACCTCTGGCGTCGGTGGCCTAGTGGTTAGGCTCTCGGACTCGCAACCGTAAGGTTGTGGGTTCGAATCCCGTCAGGGGCCCGACGTTGTGTCCTTGGGAAAGGACCCTCTGAGAACACCCTGAAACATTCTCGGCTTCCGCGGAAGCATACAGTGCAAGCTGCGGATTTTACGCGCTCAAACACTATCCCACTGACAAGATCGTTTACTGTCTATAGCCAGGTACCCTTTTCCACCTGAGTGAAGTGAGGAAAATGTGTGCAAAGTGTCTTTCCACACACCTTTCTATTGTGTTCAAACGAGGCGTAATAGTCCTTTATCAAATACGAGTTTAACAAATCTTGAAAAAAAACAACAAAAAAACAACCCCTTCTTGTTCCCCCCCCCCTCCCATTTGAGCACCTTGCTTGTTCGCTTGTTTCTTTTTTAAAGGTTTATTTGTTGAGGGAAAGATATATTTTTATGCAACGTAAGCCAACTTTGTGTTTTACTCATACTGTAGAAAAAAGAAGAAAAATATTAAGTTAAAGACCCTTTTCCTGCCTTTCGCCACAAATAAATGTATACCGGTACCTAAACTTCAATGAGTGTAAGATTAATTTAACCTGATAGGCCTACATGTGTTGTTGTACACAGTGTTGTTATCTAGTCTGATCAACCAAGCACGATCAACACTGTGGAGTCCAGCACGCCCCACCATTCATTATCCTCGGACCCTGTAACTGAAGAAAGTACACTCGAACCTGCCCTAACGACCACCTGTATAAGAAAATAGCCTGTACAAAAGGCCACTTCCCATTTCCCTCCATGCAGTTCTTTCTTTTTTTAAAACATAATAACGACACTGTGTAAGACGATCACTTGTCTATGACGGCCATTTTTCTTCTCAGCCGTTTATGACAATCCCGACCGTATACAATTGGGACGGACGGAGTGAGGAAGGAGAGGACGGAATAGGGATTTAAGGGGCGGGTGGGGATGGTGGTGGACAGGTCACCTGTTGAAGCCGATAAGTTTTGGCCAAGGTCAAGACTGCAATAACACTATCGCACTCAGGGTAGATGCACACACCTGTCTCTCTGGTCGAGGTATAGACCTATTTATGTGCATGTAGGGCTAGATCTACAATGCTAGGAGGGCCTTATTGATTAGCCAAAGGCAACAGAAACTTCTGGTAAGTAATTTAATCTCTCTCTCTCTCTCTCTCTCTCTCTCTCTCTCTCTCTCTCTCTCTCTCTCTCCCTCTCTCTCTCTCTTCCAATCTCTCTCTCTCTCTCTCTCTCTCTCTCTCTCTCTCTCTCTC